CTCCTCCTCTCCTACTAAAAATCGTGAGAATATGTTAAATTAGTTTCTTATATTTAATTTTTTTTAAGAATAGTTTCGATGATTTAAAAAAAAATAGAATTTGTAAAGTTTATTTTTTTTAAAAGTTCGCTAATTAAAGTTTATTATGGCAAATAAAAATTAAAATTAATAATTACTCCGAGGACTTTTACATTGAATGCATTCCGCGTTGGCCTTGAAATGTCTTATCAAAGGAAAGGAAAAAACAAAAGATGTTTTATTTTTCCATGTGGAAAAATTGTTCTTCTTAGATGGAAAAAAAATGAAGATAACTAATGAGCAGAAAGAAGTCAGTCAACAAATAAAAATTGGAATACAAAAGATAAAATAGACATTTTTATACAAAAATATTGCCCCACTTTGGATATTTTGTTTCGTTATTTTTTCGATTTTTTATTAATTTAATTATTCGTTTATTTATCGGATTTCAATTAGTTAAACTAAACCTTTTTTTATTTGATTAGAATTTGGTTTTGTTAAGAATAAAATTCTTTTTCTATGCATATTTTCATTTTCTTCAAATTTTTGATGATTTATTTTTTTTATAAAAAATCATATCCAACCCAAATCATCTTTTGGATCTACGGTTTAGTTCAATTCAATTTTGATCTAAACCGAAATAATCATGCGTTTTTGTTTTTTTGCGACGATTGAAAAATACTTCATCCTGAGAGGGTAAAAAAATCCTCTCTCTCTTTATAAACACTCGGCGCCTACCATTTCATATCTCATCCCCAAAACGCAATCCTCTTCTGGCAGAATCGAGAAACCATCGGCATGACTGAGGCTGCGTTTGCGTTTGCGTTTGCGTTTGCGTTTGTGGTTGCGGTTGCGGTGGCAACAGAAGGTTTCAAAGCTTCGGGTTCGGTCAGAGGGTTCCAAAACGCGGAGGGGCAATTCGGTCATTTGGTTCTTTAGGGTAAATGAAACCCTAATGTTTGTTTGAGTCTCAGACTTCTGCGTTTTTCGGTTTTTTGGTGGTTTCTCTCTCTAGGTCGGCGAACTTGTGTTCTCCGGTGTTCGGGGTCGATTTTCCGGTCGATCTCCGGCAGCTCTCTTTGTGTAACCCTAGCAAACGCTGTTCCTCTTCCCGAGACGTAGGTATCGAGTGTTAGAGCTCGATACTGAACTCGTTATTCCGCTGTCTCGTTTTTCTTTCTGTTCTTGAGAGAATCGGAGAGATCGGTGAGGGATCGAGGTCGAAATACTCTACAAGTGGTATCAGAGCCCGGTTGACGGCGAGGCTCGGCGGATCTGCGGCGAAAATCGCCTGAGGTAAGTCCGAGGTAAGGTCAGATCTGACTTCTCTGATTCTGGTGTCTTCATCTGTTTCAGGAACCGAATCGGTGGAGAAACGGCGAAGCAGGAGCCATCTCGTGTCGAGATCGGCGACGGTCACCGGCAGAGGAGCTCAGATCGGCGGTGCTAGAGAAGGTAGGTTCCGGATCTGACTCGGCCTGAGTTACTCAGCCGAGTACAGAGTCCAAGGAGGTGAGTTCGCTCTATTTCTGGTTAGGTCTAGGGTTCGGGGGGGAGAAATCGGTGAAAACCGGTGGTTCCCGGTGAGTCTTGGCCGTGACTCGTTCGAGTCGCGACTGAGTCGTCTTCGGGGTTGAGTCAACGTCCGAGTTGGCTCGGGTTAACTCGGCGGCTTCCGCGTTCCGAATTAGGGTTTTCGGTTCTGATCCGGTTTAGCCGGTTCAACCGAAATTGTCTAATTGAACCGGGTCCGATTTAAAATCGAACCGGTTTAGTCGGGTTAGGTCAAACGTTGACCAATTTCTGGTCAACAGTTGACCGGGTTAGGAAAACCGGATCGGTTCAGGTCAATTGGACCGGTTCAGGTCCGGTTTGGGGTCAATTGGACCGGTTCAGACCGGTTCGAGTCAATTTAGGTCCGGTTCGGGATAACCCAGACCGGTTTAGGTCAATCTAGGACCGGTTTAGGACAATAGAGTCCGGTTTAGGTCAATTTAGATTGGGATTGGGCCGGTTTAGGTCTGATTAGGGTCTGATTTGTCCAAATAGGGCTGGGTTTGTCCGGTTTAGGGTCTGTATCGATTAGAACAGGTCTAGATTGGTCGGTTTAGGGTCAGGATTGTCTGATTAGGACTTAAATTGGTTGGTTTTAGGTCTGATTGGTTCGATTGGGTTAGATAGAGTCCGGTTCTTAGGGCATTCTGTCTGGTATAGGGTATTTAGGATCTATATAGGTCGATCTATCCTAGGTAAAGGCAGATTAGATCTGCGGTAGACTTTGGTTACCTATCCTCAGTCATAGAGTCCGGTAATTCTGTCCGGTTAGGCCTGAATAGGAGGATTTGGCTGAACTAGGTGAGTGAGAAGTCGGTATTAGGCTAGATAAGGTCTGATCAGATTTAATTAGGTCGGTTTAGACTTAGTTTAGATCTGATTAGGTTAATTCAAGTCTGATCAGGGGTAGGTAAGTCAATATTGGGTTGGCTTAGGTCTGATTAGGACTTAGGGGGACAGAATAAACTCGGTTTAGATCTTATCTAGGTTGGTTAGGTCAGTGTTAGCCTTGGGGTAGGTCTGATTAGACGTAATCAGGTCTTAGGTAGGCAGGTTTAGAGTCTATTAGGTCTGGTAGGTTGAAAAATACCTAGTTTTTAGGTCCTCTTAGGATCGGTCTTACTCCTTAGGTCTGGTTTTAGGTGATCCTAGGGTCGGGTTAGTCATTCCCAGGTTAGTTTCGTTCTGGGTAGGTCTAGTGCATCCTCGGGTTAGAGATTAGGTTTCCTATTAGTGATGTCTGCCCCTCTGTATCGCGGCCTTGACGTCGAGAAGTTCGACGGCAAGGGAGACTTCTCCTTATGGAAGGAGAAGATGTCCATTAGCTTAGAGATCTTAGGGTTAGGGGACACACTAGAGGATGATCCATCTACATGGGGGGTTGCTGATGAGGGGAGCCCACAAACTCCAGCTCGGGAAACCGAGGATTCGGGAGGCCTTACGTCTCTTTCAACCGGGTCATTAGGGCCCGGGGCTAAGGGATCGGGCACTCCGGCTCTCAAAGAGAGACAAGAAAGGAGTAGAAGGGCTAGGAACCTCATAGTGCTTGCTCTAGCGGATCAGGTTCTAAGGAAGGTCATATCCGAAAGGACGGCCTTCGGAATCTGGAGGAAACTAGAGCGGTTGCACATAGAGCAATCTCTCCCCAATAGGATGTACCTCATGCAGAGGGTGTCAGGGTTTAGGATGGACAGCTCTAGGACAATAGAGGAGAATTTAGACATTTTCCAGAAACTGTTGTCCGATCTTCACAGCCTAAATGTGAAGGTAGAGGAGGAGTATCAAGCAGTTTATCTGCTGAACTCCTTACCTCCTGCTTATGAGCAGCTGAGGGAAGTCCTGAAATATTCCCGAGCTACAATCTCGGTGGAGGAGGTGAAGGCCGCAGCTAGGATGAAGGAGCTAGAGCTTCTAGCTCAGGGTACCCTTACTCGGGGTACGGGGGAAGGATTAGTGGTCAAGGGCAAACCCGAGAAATCGGGTGGCGGGAAGAAGAAGGCCAAAGACCAGGTGGAGTGTTGGTATTGCGGCAAGAATGGACATTATAAGAAGGAGTGTAGGTCTCGGAGGGCGAAGGAGGAGACCGAGGGTAAGGGGGTAATAGCCTCGGTTCAGGAGTATGATTCGGAGGTACTTCTAGTATGCTCCGACTACTCCTCGGGTGGAGGTTCGGAGGTGAGGTCTCCACGTCTAGGTGGAGTTACCTCGGGTAGGAAGCTCAGGGGAAGAGGCGAGCGAGGGAATGTCATGTCACCGGGTAGAGTCGGTGAGGGTAGTAGCGCTAGGGGCGTTTCCTCTCGGGGTGGAGCACGTGTTTGCACGTGTTCCGAGCCTTCGGTAGAGTTCCTATAGGTTGACTAGGGGAGTCTTTACGGGGTAAAACCCGTGGGGGCACCGTAGTCGGTAGGTAGGGGTCCGGGGTAGAGGTCATAGGTCGCTTGATCTTTACGGGGATCAAGAGTTAGGTGTGTTAGTATGACTCAAGGTAAGTCTCGGGGCAGTCGGGGTAGACTCGGGGGACAGGTAGATGTCGGGGCGTGACCCTCGAGGGGCCATTGGTGAGGTATAGACTTCACCGGAGGGGGTCACTTAGACGGTCTAGGGAGTCATACTAGTCTAGGTCTTAGGTAGCCTTCGGAAGCGGAGATGTCGGGGGACACTCGCTTGGGTAGGTTAGGTGCGTCGTGTCACGCTGAGACGTGTTTATGACACGCTCGGTAAGGACTCCTTTAGAAGGGTAGGTTCAATACGCCTTGAACCATGCTTAGAGGGGGAGTTACATGGAAGTTACGGGAATGAGCCTGCTAGGGTTGGCGTGTTTTGTTTTCCTTCGTGTTTTCTTTTCTTTGCAGGTTTTGCAGAAGAAGGTGGAGATTTGTTGAGTCTTCAGCAAATACTCTGAGCGAAGAAGAAGGTTTCAAAGCTTCGGGTTCGGTCAGAGGGTTCCAAAACGCGGAGGGGCAATTCGGTCATTTGGTTCTTTAGGGTAAATGAAACCCTAATGTTTGTTTGAGTCTCAGACTTCTGCGTTTTTTGGTTTTTTGGTGGTTTCTCTCTCTAGGTCGGCGAACTTGTGTTCTCCGGTGTTCGGGGTCGATTTTCCGGTCGATCTCCGGCAGTTCTCTTTGTGTAACCCTAGCAAACGCTGTTCCTCTTCCCGAGACGTAGGTATCGAGTGTTAGAGCTCGATACTGAACTCGTTATTCCGCTGTCTCGTTTTTCTTTCTGTTCTTGAGAGAATCGGAGAGATCGGTGAGGGATCGAGGTCGAAATACTCTACAGCAACAATAGCGATATGGACGAGGAGATTTCTGAACTGGGCCTGGGTGAAACCTAGGAAGCTGGAAGCGTACCTTAAGGGACAAGGCATCTCGGGAAGTTCTTACACTTTCATTGTCGGAGACGTCAAAAGAGTTGTCAGTATAGTGAGGAGAGCCAAGTCGAAACCCATCTCTCTTGTCGACGATATCACACCTCGTGTCGCTCCTTTTCTGCAAAACGCTGTGAACGAACACGGTATTTAATCAAACATCCATTGATCTTCCTGGTCTCATTTCAATGGATTACTCACATGTCTTCTCTTTCAACGTTTAATTCATGCAAGACATCGTTCATGTGGATCGGACCGATTCCTAGAGTCATCGTAACGAAGCCGGAACACATCAAAGAGATATTCAGCAGAGTTTACGATTTTCCGAAGCCACCAACTCACCCTATAGTTCGGATGATGTTTTCTGGTGTAGCGGTTTACGACAGAGAGAAATGGTCCAAGCACAGGAGGATCATTACCCCGGCTTTCCACCTCGAAAAGCTCAAGGTTCCTCGACGAATTATAATCTGATCTCACGGTTATAATCTGTGTGGACCGTTCGATTTTATACGAGTGCCCTTTTATTGCAGAAGATGGTTCCGGCGTTACACGAAAGCTGCAGCCAGATGGTAAGGAAATGGGAGAGAATGGCGAATGAAGAGGGTTTTTCGGGTGAGGTGGATGTGTGGCCGTTTCTTGTCAGTATGACTGCTGATGCCATTTCCCGCGCTGCTTTCGGTAGCAGCTTCGAGGAAGGTAAACGGATCTTCGAGCTCCAAGATGAACAAGCAGAGCTCGTCGTGAAAGCCCTGCCAATGGATATCATCTTCCCAGGATCGAGGTAACAGCTAATATTGGAAAAAAATCATGTTCAGTTATCAAGAATAGCGGAAAAATTATCTCTGACACCCCACTTTTGGATACCGGACCAAAATGGGTCTGATATCGGGTTTAGGTAACCCGAAAATATCGGGTGTCCGACCCGTGTCTACCCCTAGAAACAAAACATATTCACCTCCAAGTGTAAGCAGAAACTGTACAACTTTGTGATGCATATGAGATGATGAATATAAATCAAAATCAATGTCAAGACGACACTGCCTAAAGGTTTCGGCCTTTTCGTTCTCTCTTCTTCGATGATGAAAGGTTTCTACCGACGAAGAACAACATGAGGATGAGGCAGATAGACCGGGAAGTGAAGGAAAGATTAGGGAACATCATCAAGAAACGAGAGAGCGAAATGGATAACGGCGAGGTTCCAAAGGAAGACCTGCTGGGAATACTGTTGGAATCGGGTTCTGGAGAAGATGGTTTGAGCGTTCAAGACGTGATAGAAGAATGCAGGCTCTTTTACTTCGCCGGCCATGAGACGACCTCTGTACTCCTTGTTTGGACACTGGTTTTGTTATGTCAGCACCGAGAATGGCAAGCTCGGGCGAGAGAAGAAGTCGTGCAAGTATTCGGACAGAACGAGCTCGACTTTGTTAAGCTCTCACAGCTCAAAACAGTAAGCACGCGCCTTTCTTTTCTTCTCTTTCAGATCGATTTCCGAACAAAGAACTGAAACAATGTCTGAAATCTGCAGGTTACCATGATCTTGAATGAGGTTCTAAGGCTATACCCACCAGGAATCCGCCTAGACCGAGCCACATATAGAGAAACGAAACTAGGAGATATGACTCTTCCGGCCAATATCGAAATATCCATTCCAGTGATCTTGATCCATCGAGACCCTGATCTCTGGGGCGAAGACGCTAACGAGTTCAAACCCGAGAGATTCGAGGACGGGATTTCAAGGGCGACGAAGAACCAAGTGTCGTTCTTACCGTTCGGATGGGGACCAAGAATCTGTCCAGGACAGAACTTTGCCCTGACAGAAACCAAGATGGCTTTGGCACTGATTCTTCGGAGATTCTCGTTCGAGCTGTCCAGTTCGTACACTCATGCACCTCATACTGTTCTTACGCTTCATCCTCAATTCGGCGCCAACTTGATCTTACACAAGCTCTGAAACACCACAAGTTGTTGCCTGTTCTTGAATCTTGATATCTGGTTTTGTCCTTATTGTACTAAATAAAATCAACTGTTTATTTTTTTCTTTCGTATTTCATCTTTCTTGATGTAATTTATCCAATAGGAAAAGGGCTTTAGATGAAGGATTAAGAATGAAAATCGGATAACTATAACCAAATACACATTCCGGTTAGGGCTGGCCGCGGATCGGGTACCCGCGATTTTGGAGATACCCGTCTTCGTCTTCGTCTTCGCGTGTTTCATGAAAACAATGTCTCATTCTCTATCTCATTAACACCGGGTACCCGTCGACCGGATACCCGTGATTAAGAGACGGGTACTCATATCCGTAAAATATATATATTTTAAATAAATATGAACCAAATATTTAGTAAAATTATATTATTTAATTCAAAAATATATTTAAAATATAAAAAATATATATATTTTTGAATATATATAGATTTTTAAAAGTTTTTTTAAATATATACGTTAATTTTTAAAAGTTAAAACATAATATTTACATAAATAATTAAAAAATATAAAAATATTAATATTTTTATATATTTACGGGTACCTACAGGTACCCGTCTTCGTAAAAATGAAATTCGTACCCGTCTTCATCTTCATTCAGAAGTCAGTACCCGTTTTTTGGGTACCCACGAGACCGGGTACCTGCAAAGCCACGGTAACATATATAAATGTCCAACCCTAATTCTGGTGGGATTATGTAATCACACGGTCCAAAAGAAATAATGTTATTACAGAAAAAAAAATACAATTATAAGAAGTTTGGTGAAATAATTGTGTTGTTGATATTATATAAATTCGTCGCTGAGATATGATATGAGGGCCTTCTTGGATCTCAATTGACGCACGGAAGCGTCGATTTTCCACTGCCCGTTTTGTTCTTGAAAAGTCTAATGCGAATTCTGTTTGGATTTTTGCAGTTCAAAAGTATATCTTTATTTAGAAAAGTCAGTCCATATGTTAATGTTAGGGACCAATAAGGAAAGTGAGAGGAAAATGATTTTTTAAAAAAAAAGAAAAAAGAAAAGGCAGTCGAAAATATACGTGAGAATTAGTCATTTACCAAATAGTGGACACTGCGTGGAATTTTCTCGATAGTCTCTGTTTGTTTCTTGACATACACGCACATACGGATGCATGCTTATAAATACGTACATAGACAATTCATTTCTTATCTCCAAAACACACACACATACACAACCATATCTTCTCTTGTTCTTCCCTCTTCTTGCAGAGATGGAGATGCCAACGACTCCGGTTGCAGTTGCCGTTGCGTTTGCAGTCACTGCGTTAGCGATATGGGCATGGAAAGCTCTGGACTGGGTTTGGTTGAAACCGAAGCGGCTTGAAGCTTATCTGAAGAGACAAGGGATCACTGGGAATCCGTACACGTTTCTCGTCGGAGATGTCAGAAAAGAACTCGGGATGGTGAAGGAAGCCTCTTCCAGACCCATCGGTCTGAACGAAGATTTCGCGCCACGTGTTGCTCCTTTGCTGATGGAAACTGTCAAGAACCATGGTACCGTCCAATCTCGATCTCAAATCAAGATTTTGGCTTCCACGAGTTTATGTCCCTTTGATTTCACCAAAGATTGTAACTTCAGGGAAGCTGTCATACATGTGGATTGGACCGACTCCAACGGTGATCATAATGAAACCAGATCACATTAAAGAAGTGTTCAACAAAGTTTACGATTTCCCGAAGCCTCCTTCGCATCCTATGGTCAAGTTGCTGGCGAGCGGCGTGGCGACTTATGACGGAGAGAAGTGGTCTAAGCACAGGAAGATAATCAACCCTGCCTTTCACCTTGAAAAGCTCAAGGTACGTAGTCTGAAAACACAGAACAGGAGGCATTACACAATCAGATCATAACTTAAGCTATATGAAAATGTTTCTTGGGTTTGCAGAAAATGGTTCCGGCCTTGTACGAGAACTGTGGGGAGGTGATAAGCAAATGGGAGAGGCTGATACTGGAGGGTGGATCATCGGTAGAGGTGGATGTGTGGCAAGTTCTCGTGAGTATGACAGCAGATGTGATTTCTCGGACAGCATTCGGTAGTAGCTATGAAGAAGGTAAACAAATCTTCGAGCTCCAGGAAGAACAAGCCAAGAGAGTTCTTCAAGCACTTCAGATGGGTTTTATCCCTGGATTCAGGTCACACAATCCATCATCCATTAGACATGTTAGGATTGGGACAGTGGCCATGTAATGTACATAGCAAAGGGTTTTAATGTTATGTGTTTTCACTTGATGCAGGTTTCTACCAACGAAGAACAACAAAAGGATGAAAGAGATTGACAGAGAAGTGAAGTGGAGATTGAGAGAGATCATCAATAAAAGAGAGATGGTGATGAAAACTGGTGAAGCTCCAGAGGATGATCTATTGGGCATACTTCTAGAATCGAACTCCGGAGAAGGTGGTATGAGCATCGAGGACGTGATCGAAGAGTGCAGGTTGTTTTACTTGGCAGGACAAGAAACCACATCGGTTCTCCTTGTCTGGACAATGATTTTGTTAAGTCAACACCAAGAATGGCAAGCCAGAGCCAGAGACGAAGTCCTGCAAGTCTTCGGACAGGAAAAACCTGATTTTGATGGACTTTCTCATCTCAAAACAGTAAGATTTCAAACCAAAAAACACCAAAACCCGGCAATCACATAACCTCCACTGATGACCCGTTTCATTACTTCCGTTTGAAATTTTCAGGTGACAATGATCTTGAACGAGGTTTTCAGGCTATACCCACCGGTAGTCCTTCTAGGTCGATCCACAGACAAAGAAACAAGACTAGGAGACAAGACACTCCCCTCCGGTGTCCAAATTGCAGTTCCAATGCTACTGGTTCATCATGATCCTGACCTTTGGGGCGAAGACGTTCTCAAATTCAAACCCGAGAGATTTGCAGATGGGATCTCTAAGGCAACAAAGAACCAGTTATCGTTCTTGCCATTCGGATGGGGACCAAGAATCTGTCCAGGACAGAACTTTGCAATGACTGAAGCCAAGATGGCTTTGTCGTTGATTCTACAGAGATTCTCGTTCGAGCTGTCCCCATCATACAAACATTCGCCTCATATGGTTCTTACGCTTCATCCGCAGTTCGGCGCCCAGTTAATCTTCCGTAAGCTCTAAGGTACCGAAACTATCAGGTTCCTATGTAAGGCTACAGAGTTACACAATGGACAAGGTGACGTTGGAACCAACAAATCATATCGTAACTTACAGACACACCTTTCTTGTTGCACTTCATCAAACAGAAAAAGGGCCATATTTCAGTATACACTTGTCGCAGATGTTCGCGTTCAGTTCTTAGAGGAATTTCTTGTCTAGTAGCTAAAAGCTGATATGAATTTGACTTCACAACGAAGGCAACAAAAGAAATCTCGGCTTGAAAGATCTACCAATGGACTATACAAACTTGAGATTAACCCAAGTTGAAGGAAAATTAAGAAAACCAGGATTCAGATGACGACACAAATAAATCTCAACAGGGACAAAAACTTCTCATAATCTGAGGATTTTCAGATCAGGGTCAGATCATGTGTGTCACACTTGTCATTGAGGTATGTCGGGTTCAGATCTAAGTTCGGGAACTCAGTGACTAAAGAAAACAAGAGATCAACAAAATTTAGGGCAGCTTCACGGAATTAAGACATGAGAGAGAAACATGCAAAACTCTGATTCCTCTGAAACTGCCCTGCACAGATTCCAGATCTTGGCCGGGTGAAATTGAGCACTTTCATCGAAAAAGCAAAGAACCCATTTGGATCGGCCGAAGAAGAAAACACAAAACGATCGGAAACAGGTACGAAGATTTGAATGCATCGGACAAAATGTGAGATATTTTCATCTGGTTTTGCAAGAACATTGACACCTTGCAAAAGACAGGGGGAGAAAAAACCTAAAGGTCTTTGCTTTATGCCCGCAACGGAACAGAAGCCGCATGATTCTCAACGAACTGCTCTGTTCTCTCGAAGGCACTTGAAGAGAAACCCTAATAACCACAATGCATATTTATAACTGGGGAAGAGCCTTTGGGTTCAGTGAATTGTCGTTTCTGCCCCTGGACTTGTTTTTGGGCTTTATTATTCCATTCCGATTTTGGAGAAGGATTGATAATATATATATATATCCCACTCGTTTTAATTTTATTTCATCCAAAAATATTTTAGGTGGATTTTTTTATTATTATTTTATTTCACCATTTTCCCACTATTTGTTTTGTAGATGATAACCACATGGTAGAATGAAATGGAAAACACACAGCTTTCAACTCTGCTTTTGTTTTCACATGGGAATGGGATAGTCTAACGTCTAAGATGAGAACCTTATTGAGTTTTTTTAATTCTTTTTTCATATATTTATGCATCATCAAAAAGATTAAAAGGTTCATATGGAGTTTTCATATACTCAAATGTTAGAAGTTGCCCTTTAAAGATTGAAAAAACCCGGGTATATGTATATACATAGGTTTCTGCAGTTTTTGTCATGGTGGGCAAATGCTTGGTAGAAGAAAACTGGCAAATCTAACAAGTTCTATCTCTGAACATATGCTTGATTCTCTCATGGCGAATCAAGTAAGGAATAGAAATCCAACAGTTGGTGATCTAATGGTTGAGAGGTGGCAAAGTCATCTTCAAAGTATTGGGTTCGATTCAACTGATGGATATGGATGTAATTTCTAGACTAAAATGATCCATATATAAAGGCTGGTCACTATAAAGGCTGGTCACGGGCCAAGGGTGGATGTAGTCGGACCGAACGCTCGTGGGACCATTCTGGTTATGAAAAAAACCTAAAAGCACACAAATCTATTGAATCTTTGATGCAAGAATCGATATCGGGTTTAAAACACGTCAAGAACTACTGAATATACTCGCAGGAGAATGAAAGACAATGTAGGGTTGAAGCTCTGCAACCAAATAGTATCTGAATTTTCTCCCATTTAGAAGGAACTTGATTCTTCTAGCTTCTTTGTGAGAAGATACCTGAACAAAATGGTCAGTAGAATCATGACATGTCTCGGAAAACAACCGCTGTATGATCTGTCATCTCAATCGCCCAAAGCTATCTGGCGGCCACACCTATCGATAACATACAAGCAAGCAAATAGTTACCCTTCCGATATTATGTGAACAAGACACTGAGAAGATCTTGACACATACAAAAACTTGATGGAAAAAGAAATGATTAACAAGAAGCACTGGACTAGATGATTACCCGCAACAGAGCTTTTCCTTGAATGAGACCGTAAGGGACGGGACCAAAATAGCGAGAATCTGTTGAAGCATACAGATTATCTCCCTGAATCCAAACATGACCTTTCGGCACCTATACAAGAAGTTCACACACTATGTATCAGAGAAAAATTAGAGCAATCAAGCCGACCTCCTAGACGTTTAAGAATGGAGAAGAAGCTCAAAATGTGTTCATAAATGCCAGGCCGAAGCCAACCCTGCACAGACAAAAATTACTCTGAAGTCTAACTTCATCAAAATCAACAGCTTCAATCACTGGATATAGCTAACAAAAGAATGATTTATTCACAAGATTCCACGGAATTTCGAAAGCTACTAAGATGAGAATCATCCATGGAAGTTGCACGTACTCCTTATCCGAAATGATCAAAACACACAAAAAGGATTCCTTTCCTCACGAAATTTCAAGATCCTTCAAAAGCTAATTACCAAATCAGACTACAGAATGTGCAACAGGGAAACACAGAGGAAAAGGAAACTTTGCAACTGTTCATCTGAGACATACTAAGGATTCTGAACGAAAACACAGCAAAAATACGGAGCTGCGAGAGAGAGACACCAGAATGTTCATACCACAACACTGACAGAACCATCATCGACCAACGGGTCGGCCGAGAAGGTGACCCTATGGCCTTCCAAGCCTAACACTCTCTTCGTCACCATCTTTCTCGGGTCTCTCGGAGACCGAACCAACACCACATCACCGAGCTCGACCTTACCGAACCGGTGAGACACGTGTTCCGCCAAAATGACATCGCCGGTGAGATTTAGTGTCGGAAGCATGCTAGGACCATACACCTGTAACCAAAGCAAAAACGATTCGGATTCAGGGATCATATTAGAGAAGGAAAAAAATCAGTTTTTTTCTAGGTTTTACAGACGTGGGTCGAGGAGACGAGGTAACGATCGGTGACGTGAAGCAAGCAGAGGAACTTGACGAAGATGGATCCTTGATCAAGCGCCTCCTTCGCCGTCGATCTCCATTGTTTCAGGAAACTCAGCAATCTCATCTCTTTCTCTCCCCCAACAAGAGGATCACTTTCGGAAGCAGAGAAGCGATAAAAGACGGCGGAGGGACGGAAGCAGCTCCGGCGTTTTCCCCTTGTCTATAAACCCCAAAGGCGACAGGTAGTTGGTCCCTCAGCATCCGAAACGGCACGCGGTTTTTTCTTTTTAAGTTGGTCACTGACAGGGAGCTGACTGCAGAAAACTGAAACAGCAAGATGTGCGGCAACGAAAAATGGGATATATCCCAAAAACTGGGACTTGGTCTCGATCTTTATAGTGGTTAACAAAGATAATTGTGCAAGTTTCTGTAATCAAGAACTTAACATTGAAAAGTGAAACATCTGTATTTGAAAAAGAGTCAATAAACATAAAGACATCACCCTATAAATAATCTATGGTGTGTTGAAGAATGTGTGTTCTGTCGCTGAAGCAAAGGCTTGAACTTTAAGCTTTTTCTCTGAGACCCTTCCCGAAAAGATCTCACCTTCGGGTTTTACTCGGAAACTAATCGATTCTTTCGAGATTAAACATGACCATATCTTCAAGAGCCAACCTGTATACGCTCCGAGGAAGACGATGGAGGTTTTGAATGGCGAGATCAGCTTTTTCTGTAGCCAAGTCACGAGCTTTATCGATACCCCCTGATTTCTTGACCAGTTCAATGGCATCATCTAGTGACCCTTCTTCACAGAACTCTGTTTCGATAATTTCCCGTAGCCTTGGCTCTTCTCTGAGAGCAAAGATCACGGGGGCGGTGAGATTGCCTTTTACAAGGTCACTAGCAGCTGGTTTTCCCAGCTGGTCGGAGGATTGTGTGAAATCAAGAATGTCATCGACTATCTGGAAGGAAAGACCGAGGTTTTTACCGAACTGGAACATCTGTTCAATGATGTCCTGATCAACCCGGCTGAAGATTGCAGCTCCTTTTAAGCTGGCAGCTACTAAGGAGGCTGTCTTGTAGTAACTCTTGAGCAGATACTCTTCTAGTTCAAGATCACAGTCAAATGATCTTGTCGCTTGCTTTATCTCACCGCTAGCGAAATCCTTGATGACCTGCCACAACCAGAGGACGAAATTTCTGTACAAACTCGACTTCTGAAAAGAATTTTGTCCGTAGAGAAAAGGGAGATTAACAAAGAAACGATTGAAGAGGGCAGGGACTTGACCTGGCTAATGAGTTTAATGACTTCAAGGTTCTCAAGATTTGCAAGGCGCCAAGAAGATTGAGCGAACAGGAAATCGCCTGCCAGGACGGCCACTCTTGTACCGTAAATCTGGTGTACGGTCTCCCTTCCTGAAGGGAAAAAACTCCATGAAATTAAGACAAGAAACCGAGAAAGAAAAGAAACTGAAACCAACCTCTTCTCATGTCACTTTCGTCCAACACGTCGTCATGAATCAAACTCGCGGTATGGATCATTTCCACGATCTCAGCTAAACGCTTGTGTTTCTGCCTGAGTTCACTGGCCAAAAAAGGAGAGGACAATCAATTCAGTGATGCAGGAGCCAAAAGATCATGGGAGATATGATATGATTCTTACATCAACCCGGATAATTCTGATGTGGCTCTCGAAACCAGGAAAACAAGAGCCGGTCTTATTCTCTTACCACCAGCCCCGAATACCTGCTCGGCTGCAGACATCAAAACCGGGTTTTCTGCACCGACAATCTGTTGAAAATCATTGCCAGATTCAGACATGCACAAGGCATTCTCTAGATAGCCCATGAATCAAACGTAAGAAGGCCTACACTTCAAGAAACTATTGCACTAGAAAACCATCGCCATCCCATCAAAGGAAACAGACATAAAGACATAATGCAACAACTCAAAACACTAACTAAAACAAGGTCATGGATATACCCACATCAAGAAGATTCTGGTTCAGAGTCTCTAGATCATCAGCCACGACTTTGAACAAGTTGGCCAAAGGAATCGGCTTCTTTGCCTCTTTATTCAAATTCAGTAGACCACTTTGATCAACTCCTACATAAATCCGATGAAATAACAATCACAGATACGAGGAAATGGATTGATTTCAGCCAAGAACAGCACCAGATCATACAAATGATGTGATCATGAATAAAAACTGCGAACTGCAAATTCGAAGCTGTACCGTTTGTCAACATCTCTGGGGCGTTTGTGGAGGAGGCGCGACAACTGCTACGACCATTTCTTCCAAAGCAAATCAATTTCCGACCAGTCGAACCTGTTCTACTTCCGCTGAGATTGGAAACAGTCTTCGAACGCCCGACAAGATCGAGAACGCTCGCGGCAAAATCAAGATTCCGGCAAGCCAACGACATCATGGGCGAACCCACCAAAGGAAACCTATCACAATCAGAGAAAACGAAAACCCACAAGATAAATCATCCTGCTCTCGCTTTAAAAGAGCAGAAACGGAGGAGGAAGCGAACAGAGAACAAGCACCGAAATCAGCTGAAGAGAAAAAAAGGAATTCAATCGAGAAGTCGAACACGAACTTGGGCGAAATCGAAGACGGAAGAGGAAACCCGAATCGGAGAGGGAAACGATTTCAATGAGGGTAAGTCAAGAGGCGACTGGGATCCAAAAGACGCAAGATTCAAGCCGACCCTTGACTTGACTAGAGTGTGGAACCAGAGATTCTGTCTGGTCGTTGAAAAGGAATTGGCTTTTTATGGGAAAAGATGAAAAAGTTACGATGTTCTCTCCATTTCCGTGTACATACATTTTTATAGCAACCAAATGGTGTGATGTATAACTCCCTCTCTCTAAATTTTTTTTTGTTGGTAACGTAATGAGTTCATTTTTTTCCCTAGTCAATAATATTATCTATTCTAAATATAGGAGACGAAGGGTTTTGTAAGAAACCGACAACAAATTTTAGTATTTTACCTCTCTTATGGTATTCATCTGAATTTTCTTTTATTTATTACGACAGACATTTGGGATTTTTGCTTTTTATTTTTTAATTTAATAATCATTCCTTTACATAGGATTTTTTTCTTCTGGGTCTCATCTATTTCAAGTTCACACCTTGGAAGAACAGACGCATATATTAGCAAACAACATTACAAGAAAAGGGATCAAACTTATATAAAGCTCACTTGCATGAAAATGAATGCAACAACGAATTTTTTTTTTTATAATATGTGATTTGCCAAAAGTAAAGTTCAAATCTAGGTGGTGTACTTTTTGTATACTCATTTACCAGTTGAACCAATCATTTTTGGCGCAACAACGACTTTCAGGGTAGAGGACGAAAACATTTGCCCTAAAATCAAGTTGTTTGTGTTTATATATATATATATATATATATATATATATATATATAATTGCAATTATTTGTATATATGGCGACCCTCAGGTCAACTGTCGTATTCTTCGCATCTTTATCAATGAGGGATGTCCAACGCCAGCAACTTGACTTGGCAACTTGAACAAAACTTTTCACCATACAAAACAATATATGTTATATACATTTATGTGTGTGTATATATCAGAATCAAGTAACACGGACATTGTTCCGGTCGTGTTAGGGAATAGTTAGTCAAAGCGTTATGTCCTTTTATATATGTATTCCAAATTTTCTATAATCTAATTTAATTTAGTTTAAAACTTATCTTTATTTAGTAAGATTCAAAACCATAAACTGCAATTCTTTGTAATATTATTTTTCGGTATGGTAGTCTATCAAAGATGTAAAATTTAAAATCTTTCTAAAAAATAAGAAGAAGAAGAGAAATAAAATACAAAAATAATATTAAGTTTTTTAAAAAAAATAAGTAATGTAGGTCCTATGAAAATAATAATGTGCATGCTATTTATTTCGAAATATATTTCACAGGAAAAAAATATATAACGGGAAAGAGACAAGTCATATTGGCCAAATGGGGCTAAATTGACCAGGTTGACGAAGAGAGGCTTAGATTTGAAATAAGTTTCCTTAGGGGGTTGAAATTATAATTTTAAAAATATATAAAATGAACGGTCCAACGGTAGATTTAGACCAGTTGCCTCGCAAACGGGACTTTTCCAAAAGCTAGCCGACAGTCGGCTGAACAAAGGCTTAATGTTGAGAAGTTTCACAACATTGCCACTCGCGTGACGCCTCCACCGTACCCAATAAGTACCACGAAAATTTCTAAAATTAGGATATATATTAAATTTAACTTCAAAACTCAAAAAATACAAAAAGTAAAATCAATCGGTAGCTATAAACGCTTGTCATCTTCACGGAGACCCTCTCTCGTCCAACGAATTCATCGTCGTCTGCTAGCTCTCTCTCTCTCTCGTTTTCTCCGATCTCTGGATCTTCCGGATCTTAGGTTTTCTTCTCTCCGCAGGAATCTCGCGGATTGGTTGATAAGGTTCGTGTGTGGCTTCGGGTTTAGAGAATCTAGGGTTTTCTCGAAAAGTCGATCGGGTTTGGGTTCTGGATTTTTCGGTTTAAGATTCGATATTGGCTCTTTTTTGCTCTCTTTCTTGCTTGCTGTTGCCATTTCTGAGATCATTTGGGAAGTGTAAGTACCTGAGTTTTGATTTTGATCAAGGTTCTTGAACGGCTCTTGGCGTTCTGTATTGCGTGGAGAACAAAGTTTGAGTCAGGTCAATCTTGGTTATCTTCGTACTTGTTCGTTACTGAGATTCTCGTCTCTGTGCTCGTCGAATAATCGCGGAAGAGTTGAGTTGCTTTCTTTCGTTCCGGATTTTTTGAAGTGTTTGGAGAGGATGCAACAAGATCAAGGGAAGAAGGTCTCTCTTTCTCTCTCTCGTAATATTGCGGATTAAGCAGCTCATTTTTCATTGGGGCAATCAGCCAATGTTGGCTGAAAACGTGGGGATTAGGCTATATGAAATCTTGGTGCAGGTGCAAGAAAGTTCTAATACCTTAGTAAACATAATTGATGGGTTCCCGTTGTTTCATCAGTTTAGGATTCTTTCCATTTTCATGTACTTCCCATGGGCGTAATTTTAGTCCATGTGGATTTTCTTGGATTTATGTTGCGATGGCGTTTGAGAAATGTTTCTTTTAATTTGTGGGATTCTCCAGGTCATAAAAGAGATGGACTTTTTCACGGAGTATGGGGATGCCAATCGATACCGGATTCTTGAAGTCATTGGAAAAGGAAGCTATGGAGTTGTTTGTGCAGCCATTGATACACATACTGGAGAGAAAGTGGCGATAAAGAAGATAACTGATGTTTTCGAACATATCTCGGATGCTATCCGTATCCTCCGTGAGGTCAAGCTTCTCAGGCTCCTCCGTCATCCGGATATAGTCGAAATCAAAGGCATTATGCTACCGCCCTCGAAGAGGGAGTTCAAAGATATTTATGTTGTGTTTGAGCTTATGGAATCTGATCTTCACCAAGTAATCAAAGCTAATGATGACTTAACCCGTGAACACCATCAATTTTTCCTGTATCAGATGCTTCGGGCTCTGAAGTATATGCATACAGGTGAAATTATTTTCCTATTTTTTAACCTTTGCAGTTTGCTGTAACAATTTTCCAATTTCCTCATACAGCTAATGTTTCCATTGAATCCTGCCTTAAGTTGGGAGCAGCTTGTTCTCTGTTTTCTGTCCTGTAATTTCTTTTGAATAGTTCGGTTGGTATTAATGAACCGTACCTCTGTTTTGATGCAGCTAATGTTTACCATCGTGATCTTAAACCGAAGAACATATTGGCAAATGCAAATTGCAAATTGAAAGTCTGTGACCTTGGACTAGCAAGAGTGGCATTTAGTGATACTCCTACGACAGTCTTTTGGACGGTTTGTAGCTTCACGCAGCTTTTTGCTGCTATATGTTCATTCAACTTTCCTTTCTGATGTTTTCTTCAAGTGTTTGGTTATGTCTACTCTTTATTTTTCCCTTGCAGGATTACGTTGCCACGAGATGGTACAGGGCACCTGAGCTCTGCGGATCGTTCTTTTCTAAGGTATGAAACTGTTCAATCCGGCCCTTTGTTCTGTTCTAGCACTCCAATGATTTTTATTTTCTCGGTAGTCTTTTAAATGTTTTCATATGTGTTATTTGAGTTTTCATAACTAGTTTTACATAGGTGTAATGTAGCATAAGCATGAAATATCGTTAGCATAGTGATATAGCTGATATTTATCATTGCCATTGCTCTGGAATCATTTCTCCATATACAATTATCGAGTATTAACATGAATGGACATGTTCTTTCTCCCGCTAGATACTGTAGTGTTTTATCATCAGCAGTGATGTCTAGATTAAAACAATTCTTGTTCAGGGGCGACTTTGAACTCTCCTGGGAGTTGAATATCTGTAATTCAGGTAACCCTGTGTCAGGTTAATGTCCATTGAGTGTCTTTCTTTGCAAATTGCATTTCATTTACTGAGAATATGTTGCTCAAAAGTCTGATTGACTGTTATTATCTTTTTCAGTACACGCCAGCTATTGACATTTGGAGCACTGGCTGCATCTTCGCGGAGGTGTTGATGGGAAAACCATTGTTTCCCGGAAAAAGTGTCGTGGATCAGTTAGAGCTGATTACTGATCTTCTTGGCACACCATCACCAGAAACCATTTCCGGAGTACGATCCTTTGCCTGCTTCACAGAGATGCACACACATGTTTATACTAAGATATATTCTATCTTCTGTAATCTGTTTATGTTGCTGAGAAGTTTTCTGCTAAGATTCTACGCCTCTGGATACTGATAACTAGAGATGATACAGGTACGAAATGAGAAGGCTAGAAAATACTTGAATGGAATGAGGAAGAAAAATCCTATTCCCTTTTCGCAAAAATTTCCTAACTTGGATCCTTTAGCACTTCGGCTATTGCAAAGGTTATTAGCTTTTGATCCAAAAGACAGGCCGACTGCTACAGAGGTGATTTTTTCTGTCATTTCTCTTTCTACTAGATTCTCATTTCTGCATTTTTCTTTTTATATTGCTTGGCGATGGATGCTTTGGCCTTTTACTTACATTCCTGGTGGATTTGAATGCAGGCATTGGCTGATCCGTACTTTAAGGGCCTTGCTAAGGTTGAAAGAGAACCTTCTTGTCAGCCAATCTCCAAGCTGGAATTTGAATTTGAGAGACGAAGGTTGACAAAGGATGGCATTAGAGAATTAATCTACAGGGAGATACTAGAATACCATCCTCAGTTGCTCAAGGATTACATGAATGGATCTGAGGGCTCGAACTTTGTCTATCCTAGGTTTCAATCCCTTCCTGTTTCGTGACCTTAATCCTTTTCCTTTGAGTGAGGTCGGATCTTATGCTCTTTATACCTATTCCTAATTGCCCAACTTATTGTTGCAGTGCCATAGGCCATCTTAAAAAACAGTTTGCATACCTCGAGGAAAATAGCAGCAGAAGTGGGCCAGTAATACCTCCAGAGAGAAAACATGTTTCACTTCCCCGGTATGGTGTTTTCTTATTCATATAAACTATTGAGAAGACGTCTCTTTAGCTCTTTTTTTTCGATGTAACCTGGAATTCGCCAAAGAAAACAAACTTGTAAGCAAATTCAAGAAGGAATATTTTCTTTTTTCTGTTTTCCTCCTAACGGGTATTATCCCTACCTCCATTTCGCTACAGGCCTACAGTTCACTCCAGCTTAGTCCGCTCTTCTATCACTCAATCCAACTTCAATACATCTGAAAGCCAACGAGTTTCTGGAGAGGCTTCCAAACACAGTGTAGTTCCTGGACATCCATCGTCTTCCACTAATTCGACTAAATCTTTAGGACCTCCACCGAGAGTACCGTCAGGTGAAGAGCTCGCTCTTTAACTAATACCCCTAACATAGAAACTACGGCCTTACAGATACTTAGATTTTTTTTTTTCTCTGGGGTTGAGAAGCATTTGGCAATCTCTTTCTTTGAATCTGGTGGCAAGTTTTCTCCAAGATATTGTTCTCTTACCTTCTCTCCTGTGCTATTTTTTTTTTGGGCAGGTAGATCAGGCCATGTGGAATCATCGGCTCCTTACGAATATGGCAGAAGCCTCAAGGAAGCATATGACGGGAGGACGTATCACAGAAACGCAGTCCTCCCTCCTCAGACGGTTTCTCCTCACTGCTATTTCCGAACAAACCTGATGAACCCAGAGAAGCGCGGAATAGAAGCTTCTCAGCCAAAACCGCAATACGACCCTCAATGCCAACCCAACAAACCACCAGCTCCTAACACTATGGCCGTAGAGATGAACCCTAACCCGTATTTCCAATCACAGCCCAATCAATTAAGCAACGGGCAAATGGGTATTGATGCAAAGCTATTGCAGGCTCAATCCCAGTACGGCGCAGCAGGAGCTGCGGCTGTAGCAGTAGCGGCACATCGGAACATGGCCAGTGTTAGGTATGGCACGTCTTAGAATCAGATTCAGATTCTTTTTAGCGCATTTGGAGCAGAGAGGATTCATCTCGGAAGGAGTTTAGCCTTTTGACTACTACTCTGGTAAGCCTTTTATGTATGTAATTAATTCAGTCAGCCCCTCCTGATTTGAGAAAACACATGATTGGAATGATATAACAGAATCTCAGTTTGTAACCCTTCAGACATGGTTCGATGAAAGCTTTTGTCGTTCTTCCTCGGCTCGTGAACTGATCTTTGTCCGATCAGTGAATCTTTCCGGCGATTTCTTCTTTGATCTTGTCTTCGTCATAGCTTCTGCAATTGCCGAAGACACGAAGATGTACCTACTCTTCTTAAACCGAAAAAGCTTTTTTTTTTTTATTATCTCGTGTCTATGATGGGAATACTGAATGTTTTGTGGAGATGATGAAGAAGAAAAAGATTTAAAAAAAAACTAGTAGTAAAAGAAAGAAATCTGTGTTGATCCGCGATCTGATTGTCTATACATAGACCAATCTCCGAACAAAGAGGAAGTCCCCAAAAGTTGAGGCCTTTTTGTCAAATCTTGAAGAATTGCTAAAAAGCTTCCCAAGATTTAAAAAAAAATCTATTTTTCAAACTGTTTAAGTCCATATAGAGAACGGTTCGACTTCCCCTGAAGAGCAGAGTAACCCGGCGGAAGAGACATATAAATCTCTTCATCAAGATCTCCGTTCAAAAACGCATTGGAAACGTCCATTTACTGTAAAAGCCAGTCATTAGCTACCGGGCTGAAAGTATCGAGGTAATCGATACCTTCGATTTCGGCGACTAACCGAGCCTTGTAGCGCTCTACAGTACCGTCGGGATTAAACTTCGTTTTGAAGACCCATTTACAGCCAATGGGGCGAGGTAATGAGCAAACTGTCTAGGTGTTGGTTGAGCCAGAGCTGACAACTCCAGGCGCATAGCATCTCTCCATTCTGCAAATTGCGAGGCTTTCGTGTAGCATGTAGGTTCTGGTATAGTGGTAATGGCTAAAGCAAAATGTCTGTAAGAAGGGTTAAGAGAGCCATAAGAGATAGAGGATGAGAGCCATAAGAGATAGAGGATGATAATGGAAAAGGTGAAGATTGTGATGAGGCAGGGGGTTTCGAATGAGTTAACATGAAGCAATGATAATCGGCAAGGTAAGCGGGGGTTTTAGTCGAGCGCTTTGGACGGTCGTTGTTCTCAGAGACAAAAGGAACAGAAACAGGAGGAGAGGAAACATATCTAGATGACAGAGACACAGAATGAGGAGGAAGAATCACAGATGCCGAAGACAAATGCTCATCTGTAGGTAAAGGAACAGAAGGAACAGATACGGAGTTGTCATCATAGAAAAACAGAGAAGGAGATGAAGGAAAAACATCGACAGGTAGAGATGGCAAAGAAACTGTTTTAAAAAGAAAAATTGATTCCTGGAAAGTGACATTACGAGAAATGAAGATCTTGTTGGAGGTAAGATCAAGAACTTTATATCCCTTAACACCACTTGGATAATCCAGAAAAACAGCAGGAAAAGCTCTAGGCGAGAATTTGTGTCGATATTTCAATGGAGAAGATACGTAACACAAACAACCGAAGACACGAAGCTGATCATAGGAAGGTGCAGATTTAGTCAGAGCTTCAAAAGGAGTTTGATTGTCAAGCAAGGGTGTAGGGGTTCGATTGATCAAGAAAACAGCGGTAAGAATGCAGTCACCCCAATAGACAATAGGAACATTAGATTGAAAAAGGAGAGACCGGGCGACATTAAGCAAATGTTGATGCTTGCGTTCTACCACCGAATTTTGTTGTGGTGTACACGGACAAGAGAAGGAATGAGTGATGCCTTTGGACGAAAGAAGATCACGAAATGCGAGTTCCGGTGCATTATCAGTCCGCACAGATTTCACCGAGGCGGAAAACTGAGTTTCAACAAGAGAAATAAACTCCGGAAACTTAAGCAAGACATCACTCTTATGACGAAGAAGGTATACCCACGTGGCTCTAGTACAATCATCGACAATAGTGAAAAAATATCGATGACCGTCGACTGTCGGAGTTTTAAACGGACCCCAAATATCAAGATGTAATAAGGCAAAAGGAAGAGCAGACATTTTATTTGAATGTGGAAAGGATAAAGCCTTCTGTTTTGCCAAAGGGCAAACAGTACAATGTGTATTATTTGAAGAAACGGAAAAACGAAGACGACCCGAGCTGGCAAGTCCATGGATCTTTATTGCGGAAGGATCAGCAGAACTTGACACGTTGTGGACCATGTTGACATGAGCAGATTCAACATATTTCTGATTAGCCGGCTGAGTACCTCTGTAACTCGAGTGCCAAGAGTGTTGAGAAGCCAGCTTGTGACCTTGTGGGTATCCATAGATCTTGTAGCATTTATTAATCGTGTGTCCAAGCAAACCACAGTGGGTACAGAGAGGACGAGGCTTGTTGCTAGATCCTTGGCGAGGGCGTTGATGCTGAGGATCGAAAGAGTTCTTAGGCCGAGGAATAGATGCGTGAGTCTGAAAAGCAACTGAATCAGAGGAAGAAGGAGGCTGAATGCGTTGTTGTTCCTCCTGCGAAATTAAATTGTAAGCCTTGGTAAGATCCGGTAAGGGATCCATCATCAAAATTTGTCGTCGAGCAGGGATGTATGAGTCGTTGAGACGCATTAAGAAGCGAACAACATTCCTTCTGTCGAAGAGATCTTGCCACCGTTTTGACAATAGACATGAACATCCATGACAGGTACAGACGGGAAAGGGCTCATGGTGTTTGAGTTCTTCCCAAAGCGATGTGAGTTTGGTAAAGTAAGAATTCAAGTCCAAGGATCCCTGATGAAGACTGTCAACTTGATGTTGAAAATTTTGGAAACATTCGTTTGCTGGAAACGAGTTTCCAGATTTACCCAAATCTCACGAGCGTTGTCGAAGTAGACCACCAGACTTGAAATATCCGGTGCAACCGCATTTGTCAGCCAGGTGCAGACAAGGTCATTGCAGCGATGCCACAAACTGAAGTGTACCATCGACGAAGCCAAGTTTATTCTTGGCATTAAGGGCCTTGATCATCGATCTCGACCATACGTTATAATTTGCTTCACCAACCAGTTTTTCAGAAATGAGAGAAACACTAGAGGTGTCAGCTGCATGTAGAAATAGCGGATTGGAGTAAGGATCACTTGGCCAAGAGGCCACCGTTACTGCCGGAGATTCAGCAGTCGACTGAGCGTGAGAATCAGCCATAACGAAAGGAAAAAAAATGAAGATAATGGAGAAGAAAAGAGCAGGTGAGCGGAGTAGATTTTACTCTGATACCATATTAAAGTCAGAAGAATTTGGAGAGAAAAGGTTCTCGTGTCTCATTAACTTGCAGCAAGTACAAATATATATACAGAACAAACAGAGCAGAAACTCCTATAAACCAGGAGATACAATCTACGATATGATAAGATCAAATAATGAACTGCCAACAACTATCGGATCTGTTGAACAACTTCTAAATTTGTAATACAGAATCTCAATAGAGAGAATCTACTGGGATCGCTGCATGAATGTGCTCGCCTGAGAATATTTTCCATCTGTTTCGATTAAGGTAACGATTTTTCTGCTGTCGTGATGCAGTATTGTAGGCTGATTTAATGACTGAACTAGACAGGCAGGTTAAGTCTTTGGAAGATGACGACTGGATATTTGAATATCCTCGTTCACGTATCAATCTTATATCCTGATGTTTTGTTCTGACCCTTGTCTTGTTGTAATGTCGGTGCATGAGACATGCCACAGAACACGGATACCCCTCACTGTCAAACACGGTTCGTGTACTTGGTCTTTAAATGAGAATTCTTGACATCTATCGTTTCTTGGCGGTTTCAACTCTGGTGAATCTAGATCTTTGACTTGAGTATTAAGCATCGGCATCGGCATCTATTACGAATTGTGAGTGTGGAGTCATGTTGTTAGGAGAGGATCAAGAGTAAGATTGGGATGGATTCAAGACTTTCTTCTTGTTTGCTGAATGTTTCACTCTAGGATTACTTGATGTTTGATCATCTACGTTGATGGTAATTGGATGATGATGATGATGATGTTGTGATCTTGAAACCCACATTTATCAAAATTTTAAAACTGCGTGATTATTATTTATTAATTAGTCGGCGATAATGTTCCCCGCATTCTTCAACCGCAAGAACGAAGGATAATTCTAACCACGAACCTCTTCGGAAAACAATTAAAAAAACAAACAAAAGAAGAAGAAAAAAAGACTGATGTCTCATCTTATATATATTTATATATATACAAATCATAGAATTAATCTGTGGTATAAATAGATTGTGATGAGTTTTATAATAGATTATTACAATTGACAATGCTAAATAATACTCATTATTTTAAAAATAATTTTACATTACACCTTTTATAAAGATAACTATTTTATCATAGCTCATATCTCAAAAACGTTTTGTAAAAGAAAAACTAATTTGAGGTATATTTTATAAAATGTTTTTCTATTATTGATAATTGAAAAAAATATATATAGCAAAATACAATAGAATATTCTACACATAATATCTAGGATAAATCATAATCATATCAATTATAATATTTTAATAATAATATCTTCCTATATATTTTTTTTAAATTTATTGTTTAAAATATATATTGTAGTATATACATTTATAGGCAAGAAGATACAAAATCACCTGAAAAAATGACAATGTTGGTCAAGAGAGAGTAGAGGCGAAAACAAAGGGGAATCTCGGAATTCAGGAGAGCTCCATCAAAGATTTGGGATTGGAAAACTCCAAAAATACATTAGTATCATATGGCTCATAAAACACAAGAAGAGCCTTTACTAAATCTTAGCCTTATTGCACTTAAGCCATTTGATCAGTAGAGGTAAAATGTGTTTGTCTAAAGAAAACAATCAGAGATCAAATGTGAATGCTGCCTCAACCTCTTAGATTCTGCTACTTCCTCCTGTGTGCTTCTCTGGCAACAATCTTGAATTTCCCCGTTTCTTGTTGCTGCAAAAGACAGCCAGTCATCATAGCTTAGGGACCAACACAAGCAACAGGAGGAAGGAAAAGAATTTGGGAAATGTGAATTTGATTCTCACCCTTTCCCACAGATTAGTGTGTTCTTTGCAGAATCCAGCTACAATGCCTCCTCCTGCCTTCCTTCTCTCTCGATACTCTATATGGAGATTTTCTTTCAACCCGCAAGTGACGTGAAACGCCAACTGACAGTTCATCTCCGAACAGTCAATAACGCATCCACGCTTGATCTTGCACACATAACACGTCTCCTTCCATCTCCTTTTCGGTATCTCGCTGCAACAGATCCCTTCTCTTCCTTCAGGATCCTCAAAGTAAACCTCTGGCACGAACAACGAGCACACGATGTGGGCCCACCGGCCGTCCTTTGTTGGCTTCAGTGCCCCTCCGTTGGTTGTACATAAGAAGCAAGAGAAGGTCTCATCCCTATTTCCAAAAGATTCAGACGCTAAACACCTTCTGCAAAACCAGTCACCTTCTGGTATACCCTTAACGAGTGGATCTCCATAGCAAGAAGCATGAACCATCAGATCACACCCATCACAGAACACAATCGGATCTGATGGCTCACCATCTGTGCTTTGGCATACAGCGCACATAATCCCATCATCTTCCTCATCCTTGTAATGACCATTAACGTCATCTTCTTTCTCTTTGTTCACTTTTCTATCACCGTGTTTTTCATCCGAGTGAACAAAAACGCTCCCTTTCCCTAAAGGATCGACGTTTCCTTTTTCTCCTGCCCCTACGCTCGATTCAAACATCAGATTCCGATTTTTCACAACTGGGTTTTCCTCGAATGATGGTTTGTACTCAATATTCAGATCGAAAGGCGAAAGGGGATTACCAGAAAGCAAATCGGGACCAATCGCCCATACCCTTTTCTTAGCCGGCAAGCACAAATACGTGGGTCCTGAATTTTCGCCGTTGTCGTACTCCCCCCGAGCTTCCTTCCTCTTCTTCGCCGGAAGCTGCGACGATTTGATCACCGATTCAGCTCTTCGCTGCTCGCATTCCTGTTCTATCTGCAACAATCTCAGTCTTTTGAGAGGAGGCAAAGATCGCAACTTGGGATCCATGGCTTCAACTTCAGATCTCTGAGTTGATTTTGTCGGCCAAGAAATAGGGTTTTGAGACTGCGATTCTGGTTCTAGTTCAACGAAGATCGCGAAGGAATTAAAAGTACACAACGAGCGACGGACTTTAGCGCCAGAAATTTTCGCAAATGTTGTCAAAGCGAAACGAAGGTGGGAAGAAAGCCCGGGAAATTTCGAAACATTTTTTCTTAAAAAAAATTGTGTCAGGTATCCAATAATCAAAATCGAGGAAACAAACAGAGATTATATATTATTTTTAACCTTAAATTCCGAGATTTGAAGTTTTGAACTTTGTTATTATTTTTGTCTGAGAGCTCTTACTCTTAGTATTTTGCTTCCGGCCCATTTAGGCTTTCATAACTATTTTTCAAACGAGGAAAAAATTTAGGGCTTCACATTTACGTTTGGATTCGGTTTGGATTTGATTGTTTTGAGTTGATTATAAATGAATCTAAAAATAAATAAATCAAAACCGGACAGAATATGAAAACCTCTGAAAAAATCCTTTGCAGAAAGACTGTTTTTACATCCCAAGGTTCAATAATCACTCAAAATTCTCAAATCTAAATTTACTGAATTCGACAGACGAGACATTTGATACTAAAACGAGTTTGATTCAAGTAAACCCTTTCGAAATAATTCCAAATATAAATGTCAATTTCAACAATGTATTTACTCGTACAAAAACTTGAGCAACGTAGAGCATTTGCTAAAGAGGAAAGAGGGTGGAAACATTTATTCCCCTCACTCTGTGGTAAGAGGAAAGAGGGTGGAAACATTTTAACAATGTATTTACTCGTATCCAAACTTGAAATTTTGGGGGTTTAGATTAAATAACCCAATTTCATAATTTTACTCAACGACACCCGAATTTCGGATATCCAACCCACGGGCGGAGTCGGGTACTCGAAGTTCAGGATTTTCGACCCTCGGGTACTCTAAATTCAGGACCTTTTCCACTCCTACATCAACGCAAACAAACAAATGGGTAACAAAATAGCTCCTGAGGTAGAAGATTCAAAGTTACAAACCAGAGGGCGATTTCAGATTTCATTTAGTCTGAAGTATTAGGGTTGGCTGGCAGAGACATGCAAGGGCGGTTCATCTGTGTCCCTGCGGTCGCTGCATATCATAACCGCCGCCCCATGAAGCAGCAGCAGCTGCCGTCGCAGGATGTCCATATGGTGGAGGATAGCCTTCTATGCCCGTCGTTGCCTGAAAAGGGAACAACATTATATATGATGACAAACACATTTAGACTTGTGATCTGTTCTGGTTTGTGCCTTAAAAACGTTACAGTTCGGTTCGAGACTAGGTATGTGAAGTCTCGATCGTATCTAAGATTTGAATTCTCAATGCTAAGAACGGAATTATCAAGACCAGAACAAGAGGGACTTCATGCATATAATTGCAGAATAAGTAAACAAGATAGAAAATACATGGTAGAGAAGATCATGCAAAGGCTTTGCTATGAATTCGATCAACAATGCAGGAGATTTTGCAATATTTACATAATGATAATAATTCAGTATAAGAACAGGTGAAAGAAATGAAGACTCAAGCTTACTTGATTCATGCCATAGTTCGGTTGATACGGATTCATAGGATAGCCAGGTTCGGGATTACCATATCCGGCACCATAACCAACACCTCCTGAGAAAAAAATTCGAGCTTTTCTTAACACTTGTAAATCAAGTTCCGACTCGAGAAAGAAGAAAACAAAACAAAACCTAGAGAACCACAATTACCATAACACCATGTAAACAGACTACAACATCAAATACTGGTCTGCAGATTGCTAGTCTCTAGCTAGAAAACTATGGTTCGGTTTAGATTTGACATTTACTAAGACCAAAACATCTTGGTCCACGCAAAAGCTTTGCTGCGACTCATTAGGATCCATGTGAGAATTAATAATAGGTATAAAGACTTGCCAGAGAGAAATTCAATGGTCAACAAGTAAAAAGAATATTGATTTAGGAACGAAAAGCCATCCTCAGTCCCACTGATTCGTAATGAATAAAACATCCCGAAAGCTTATTATTGGTTTTGTTTCTCTTTGTCAATCTAACTGAAATTCAGATGAGAATTCTTTTAAGTTTAAATGAAACCATACCAGGATTCCCAACGTGACCAGTTGTATGACCTCTCTTCTCTGAGTTAGCGATCTCTGCTCGAAGTTTCTCCAGTTCCCGGGCCATCCCAACTAACTTTTGCTCCATAATCTTACCATGCTCATAATTCTCCGCATAGCCTTTTTTCTCATATTCGATGGCCGCTCTAAAATGTAGAAAAGGTGAGTAAGCTCAGTCACAGTGATGCATAAAAAGGTAAGTGGAATACTATAGCCTTTCTATGGGAAAACAACATGCACAGTATAGACCCATAAACAAGAATTACCTAGCACGCTGCAGCTCTTGCTTTGTGTTCTCAATTTCCGCAGTCATACTTGGAATCGGCTGCAAATCTGCTGTAAGTCTAGCTAAATCTTGATTCATCACCTGAACCTGACCCGTAAGTTCCTGTCTTGCTGAAGTAAGCTCCTTGATATCGGCACGAACCTTGTGAAGCTCCGCTCGCATTGCCTCGACCTCACGCAATTCCATTTCCAAGCGCAAAGACTTATCATACATCTCCCTCATCTGAATATCCTCATCGGCCCTCAAGGAATCTGCAAAATGCACCATTCTCTGCAACTCGTGCTGGGCCACTTCTAGTTCCTGCTTCAGCGCAACGTGAGTAGCAGCCAGCCTCTGGTTATCGGCAAGCAGGGCATGCACATCTTGGTTTTGAACGGCGAGATGCTCTTCCATGATCGAAAGAGGAGGGGGAGGAATGCCACGTGGATCCACCCTGAACTGGTTATCCCTAATGTCATCTATCATAGGCGGGCGAGGAGGCACTTGCCCTCCCATGCCCCGGACGAATGGCGGTTGGTGAATCAACGGTTGCAGGCCGATGTGAGATCCGGCTTTTGCCGGAAGAGGCGGTCCACGATTTCTTCCGGACATTCTCGAAGTTTTCGAGATTATGAATACACTACAATGCTGAAACTCGTGGAAACTGCCAAATACAATAGGATTCACTGAACATGGAGTACACAAACACAGATATCATGAATAACCTGTGTATTGCACTAACAAATACACAAGAAATCAAGGAAATCCGATGATTCTGCTAATCACGGAGACCTTCGTTCACTTTGTTATAAGTGTAATTGAAAACGATACACTTCTCTACCGTGAAAATTACTTTGCAAAGACCAAAACATCGAATTACCACTAGGAAATACACTCCCGATTCCTGGCAAGTTTTCCTAGGGATTCTCGGAAACCGAACAGAACATCTTCTCCGACAGTAACACCACCAAATTCATTAAGAGAAAGGCTTACAAAGACAAAATCATGCACTGACCTCCTACGCGCAGAACCGATTCTCCTCGGAAATCAAAAGGTAAGCAAAATTAGGGTTTTCAGCAACAAATCCTTTTGCATAAACTTTGGGAATGGTTCGATTCAGACTTGCTCCCGCGGTCGCATAATTACAAGTTTCTCCGAGCCCGATCCGATATTCACAGGACGGCGAGGATTTCTCATTTTGCTCCCTTTCTAGTTTCGTATTTCCAATTTTGTCCCTTTGTTTTTTTTTTTTACCAAATTAGTCCTATTAATTTTCGGGTTGAATTCAGTCACACTATTATTGGGCTTTGATTCCTTGCCCAATGTAAATGGGCCTTTGTACAATTTTAAGCCGAATCACAATCTCTCTCTAAAATAGTGCAATTCGGGTGTCCAACCGAAATGGATATTTCCATTTTTATATTATATTTTGATTTGGTTATGGTCGGTCTGTATATTTAAATGATATTTATCCAGTTTTGTATAATTTTTCTCTTAGTTTAGATTTGATTCTCATTACAAAACTATTCGTTTTTTGAGAAACTCTCTTCTGTTCATTTTGTTCACCTTCAATCGATTTTTAAGATTATATTCATTTCAAAATATAGTTAACCGAACTTTGGTATACAAAATCAATAAAGACTAAAGAAATCAAAGTGGGTTTTCTATAATTTCCAAGCTTCTAAACAATTTGTTTGCAATCAGTTTTCACATTTCATTTTTTTTAAAGAACAAATGGAAATAAAAATGGGGTTGATTTCTTTGCCGTCACATGGCAAGGTAAGGTGCTAACATTTAATATTGTTATAAATTCAACCTTGTCTAAGCCCGTGAGCCCATAGAATCTTGCGTGCCCAAAATAACGGTAACATTCCACGGAATTTAATGTTTATGGTTCGATTCATTCCAAAGTGACAAACCATACTTAATTTAAATTAAGACGGTCCAAATTGAAGACTAATATCAATTATTACTAGAAATAGGAATTGATCAAAGAACCGAGGTTCTGCAACGGTGGAGTTCACATGAAGCTCGGCCAACTCACATATTTTCTCCACATTCATACACATTTTTATTTTCTCTCACCATATAATATAATATTATTCTCTTTCACTCTCTAACCATCCAAAGGGACCAAAATCACAAATGGAAGCCTTGTGGAAGATAGAGGATAAACTGAAGCTTACGACGCAAGTAACCGTCGTTTTCTTGGTGGTCACGGCCGCTGCAGTCGCCCTCCTCTGCATGGCTATGGCCGCAGTTCTCGGCAGAAACCCTAGAGGGAGGCAGATCGCAGACGCGGAATGGGCCGAGACCGCGGTGGGATCGTGCAGGTGGGGCAGAGTGAAGAGGAGACTGATGGGTTCCTTCTGCTGGAGTTCTGCGACGCGGTGGGAGGATGAAACGCTGACGCAGTCGCAGACGCAGACGCAGCAGCCGGCATTGCTGCTTGCGGGGAGAGAAAGGAGCCGTAACGCGGTTGATCCCGTTTGGAAGAGGCCGATCCTGATGGGCGAGAAGTGTCGGCTGCCGAGGTTCAGTGGCCTGATTCTGTACGACGAAAGCGGTCGCTTACTACGTAATCCTCGACAAGCGAGTCTTGGAAATAACAAGGTGTAATATCTCTGGACTTAACCTAATCATACTCATCTTTCTTTTGGGAACATAACTCATTTGTTGAGGTTTTGTGCAGCAAAAACATGGTCCAGTGGGTAGAACAACTCTGCGGGATCTGCTCTGAGAGTGTTGGTGAGTCGAGATCTAGGGTTTTCGCTGTCAGAGGTAACAGTTTTCTTTCCGTGTAAGACAAGTAAAGTCTGCTGTCTGAAACTCGAGAAAAAGATAGAAAGTAAACTTCATACTTGTTCTTCGTTCAAATGCCAAACCTTCTTTACACTTTCTTTGCCTTGAAGTAAAAGAGAGAGAGCAAAGATCTGATGAAGAAACCAATAGAATATAACGAATCTTTACGACCAGACACAATACTCTTCGAGTTCGATTCCATTAACAAAAATTCCACAAACCCGAAATCCAGGAGGCAAGAAACCTCACCAGAGCTTAAAAAACACCCGGCTTCAATATAAACTATCCGGGAGGCAAAGATTTGTTGTTCTTCAGTTCTTGTAGATTGATTTCTCTGAAAGAATTTTATACATAAGATACGATAAGGGGCTCTTTCGATCCGATCTCTGCAGACTTTCTGTGGTAATGAAAGTACAAAACCAGTTGCACTACACCCAGAACTGTTCCTATTCCATTCGGAACCTGAAATCCGAAAACGCATAGTTAAGAGCTTCACATGATCTGGAGGCAAGATATTTAGAATATCATACAGCCAATATAGGTAATGTAGTATATCTCTATATATATATATATAGCTTTTTCTAGCAGAAAGACTTACAAAGATGAAGGCGTCGTTGTTGAATAATCCGTAAAGAGAGAACGAGAAGCTCATCAAGAACGTTGAGAGAGACAGGTAAAATGGCATGAACTCGAGGCTCTTTGTCCGAATAACCAGATTCTGTAAAAAAAAAACAAGAATCCAGTCAAGAAAGCTGAAAAACGAAACAGGTGAACTGAACCGAAGTGAGTTTCTGCGAAAACTCACGATCACAAACAAAGGCGAAGCGAACATTGAAACTAGAGATCCGCAGCTCAAGAACCCGACAAAGAACCATCTCGTCAGCTTGTTCGGTATCTGCAAACTTCCAGCTACAATTACTGCAAACACTGAAAGCACGACGAGAAGCAACCCGAGCATTCGCATCTGCCATGCCATGGAAAATTCTCAGTCAGAAACCGGTGATCGTAGTCCAGATTCAAGGGATATTGCTGAACAAAAGAACGAACCTTTGTCTTCTTCTCGGCGAAAACAATGAAGAGGATGATGTAGGAGAGCTGAAAGACGGCTCCGATCGAATTAACGGTCACGACCATGACATTGTTGGGAGACACGAATGGCGTGCCGTACCATAAGCAGATCAAACAGTTCAAGATCGCGTAAATGTAAGGCAAACCCGAGAATTGTTCCGTCGACCGGTTTCTGATGATTCTTCTAAAGGTTGGTCTGAAAATTTCAGAAGCAAAGGTCACATTGGAGAAACCGATAAGTCTGCTGACAAGTAAAACAAGTAGAGAGCCTGAGAAGAACTTACATGGGTGAGACAAAGAGCCCAAAGGCAAAGATGTTGCCTGAAACATAGTCGAATTCATCGATCATAAAGCATTCTCAGACACATAAGTTCTTATCACAGATGAACAATCTTCCATCTTTGATCAGAAACTTGGAATTTCACAGTGATTATGGACCCAAAACATCCTGGTTCCTTAATCCAGTTGCCTTCATTCATATGAATTTCTGACGCAAAAGTTCTACAGTTCATAGATTAGGAACCAATAGTCGATTCAGCAATCGAATCAGAGCAAAACAAAAACTGGAATCGAACAAGAAATTTCGAGTCTTTCCCGTGTTTCTTAGTGGCCCAAGAGAGAGAATCCCGAAAGGAATCAACTTTTTTCTCGCCATTGAACATATTTAGAGAAATACTTATACTTTATCGCATAAAAAAGGTATCTTTTTGGAATCTGCATCATGGGTTTTGTCCAAATAAAGCATATATAAACAACCCAAAAAAAACGATAAACAAAATCACTGATTCAGTTAACAGAATCAAGCAAACAAGCATACCTGCAATTCCCGCGACATCTTTGCAGATTGAGAAAGGACCAATGAAGCCCAAAACATCCATAAGAACTCCTCTGTAATAAATCTCCTCCTTCGATCTCTTCTTCCAACCAGCAAGCTTCTTCTCCTGTTCTGTTTTCTTTTTTCCCCGGAAAAAAAAATTGGGGGGTTTTCTACTAGATCATCATTTTTCTGGGTTACTTGCAAAACTTTCTTTGAAAGCAAGAGGAGGGAACTGTGTGTATATATATATATAATATATAGATATGCGGTCGAGAGTTTGTGTGTTTTCTTCGCCTCTCCCTGGAAATTGGCTCTTTTTTTTTTTCTTCTCTTTTTCTTTTTAACATTTTCTCAATTTGATTAGTCTTCGATTTACTAGTGGCTGAGAAGTGAAAGGGAATAAGAAAATTAATCAGCCTCCTGAACAGATAACGACCTTACTTTAATGTTATACTAGCGTATTTTATGTTCTTTTGGACTGATCTAATTGCCTTTTTTAACAATTATATATATATATACACACACAGAATGTGTGTATTAATGATTTAAATAACGATAGATTTTAGCAATGTATATATATGTGTATGTATAACTCAAAATTAATTGAATTACAGAGAACCGAACTACACCCTGATTTATTAAAAACATATAAATATATTGCAACAATCATGTTGAAATATTTTAAGTTATTTGTTATTAAAATCAAACCAAAATCGAAGAATATATGTGTATATATATAATTAAAAAATATATATGAAATAGAATTCCAAAACATAAGACAGTAAGTTTACTCGTATTTGCTTGTCTGGAAGCCGTAATTTGAGCAGCGTGAGACATTTTTCCAATGTGAAAATCATGCCGGAAAATGACTGAAATATCTTGTCGTTTTGACAAGTTTAAAAAAATTTATCATCTTTAGATATTCAATGCACCAACCAGCATAATAATAACAATATTAAATGGCATATACTTATATATATCCAAGAAATATTCTTCTACCATACATAATTATAATTATATATGGAAAATAAGAAAATATATATTCTGTAAATATATCCAAAAGATACAGAATTCGATTAGCGATCTAAGGATTTTTTAAGATCCGTATAATTTTGGCTATCTTTTATTTATTTTTTATTTTATGGAAAATAACAAAAATGGACAGAACACAATTGCAAGATTGTGTGGTCTACTTCAAAAGGTCTCATGCCCATCATCATGTCATGTTCTGTGTCCACTGCTGAGTCACTAATGATAATAATAATAATCCATGTATCCATCAACAAAAATCTAGGGCCACATGTAAATACGTTTTTCTTTTTCATTTTTGATTTCTTAAAATAATTTTTTTTTGCAGGAACACTGGTAAAAATGTTATGTTTCCTGAATTTCTTTAACAAAATAATTGATATATATATATATATATATATATATATATATATAGACACGCGATCTATAAACATTTGGGGCAAATGTGGGAAAATGTAAAAATGCAGGGACTGCGGGGGTATGGAGAATATCAGCACTAAACGAAGCAGGAGGGTGGAAGGACAGAACAACAGTGGAAGACATGGACTTGGCTGTTCGAGCAAGCCTCAAGGGGTGGAAGTTCTTGTACCTTGGCTCTTTAAAGGTATCACTTGTATATATATATATATATATATATATATATATATATATATATAATATGTTTATAATGAATCCTCAACTAAAATCCGGGTCCACATACAAGAAATATGAGCTTTCATGTTGTCGAAATATTATCTTCTCTATTTGGTGTTTTTGACATCTAAAAATTTGTTATTATTGTTTTTCCATAAATTAAAATCGCATTTTCTTCTTTTATTTGTTATTGTAGTGTTAATGGGACGGGGATGTAGTTCTGCACGTAATCACGATATATTACAATAATATTTCATACAATATTATATTATCGTCTTAATAATAATGTAAAAACGTACGTAATTAATTAGTAAAATGAATATTTTATATATAAAATTAAATTCAAAACGAGACGAGTGTGATATAAAAATTGAATATATATATATATATATAATTTTAATTTTTTTTTGAAAAAATTGAATTAAAAAATAATCGAATTTAAAATTAGACATGGGTAATTAGATTTTTCTTTTAATTGTTTCGCCGACTTCACATACAAAAATCCAATTGTTTACGTGCGGGTTTTCCTTTTGTAATGCATGTGGCCAGGCTTTGGTTCCCTTAGAACTTCAAATTAGTGGACCAAAAGCACCTTCCAATTCCAAAAGTAAAATGTGCCACGTGAATGAAATGATGGTCCTGTCCTATCGCCCCCCTTTTTAATTTGTCCGAAAAATCCCCCCCCCCCCACTATCACTTATCATCAGTTCTTGTCAACCACTTATCAATTCTTATTTTTATTTTCTCCTAATTTCAACGACACTCATTTGATTGTGCTGCAAGGGCAAACCGTGAAAAATCCCTTTTGAATGTTTATACACCGTATATATACTTATAATGGTTGCACTCTATATATTACATATATAAAATTAGATAAAAATGTGATACATATCTATATTTAAAAGAAAGGATTATTACTATATATTGTGCATAAATATTGCTACTTTGGACCGGCATGGTAGTTTTCTTTTTTTTTGGTAAATATAATCATATGACGAAAGGGGAGAAAATAGCGTCGATGGTTTCAGCATATATGGGCCGAGTTAGTTGGCCCATTATATGTTATACGATCCATTTACGGCCCGAAAATATCGGGCCTTGATAGATGGCGAGAAAAAGAAACCTTTTTGGAAAAAATTGGTACGTATCTAATTTTTTAGGAAGAAAAAAAAAATCCATAACCTTAATAATGAGATAAAAATTAGTATATAGATTTAGTGATATGTTACGTTTACTAAAGGAACATTCCATCCGTACCGTGGATTTGAATTTAATACTATTTAATTGCATTAAACCTTTGATAAAACTAAATGGTATAAAATTCAGGTTCTTTTACTTCAAAAATCGATAAAAAAAAAATAATTCGATGATTTTTCTCAATGGATCGAGTTCACTGTGTAGTTTGAATTTTTAATCGCGATAAGGATGATTTTATAAATGTAATTTTATTTTCTGTTAATATTCCTAATTTTAGGGAGTTTATATTTATCCGAAACTCGTTTGTGAAGGGAAGGGAGGGGTGATTCGGTCATTTCATAGTCCCGTGGTTCTCCGTAACTGTCGCGGATAAAAGAGGCGTACTGTTTTCAGACGCTCTTTTGGTTCCATCTTCTTCTCTTCTTCGTTCACTGTGTCTCCTTTGATCTCTGCAGAGTCTCTCTCTCTCTCTCTCTCTCGCTCTGTGTTTTCTCTCTCTCTCTCTCTCTCTTATCTGGATCTTCTTCGAGATTTTGCTGATCCTGATCTGAATTGATCTGGTACGTGAATTCTTCTGTATTCTGCCGCTTCTTCTTCTAATTTTCTTGATGATTTTCGAACTTGTTTATGGAATGTGCATGGTTTCGATGCGAAGATTGATCCATTTTCCTGTGTTCTGGTTTTTTATGTTCGCGATCTTTTTCTTCTTTTTTTTTTGGCGTTTTTTGATTGGATCTAGCATTGAATCTGGAGAATTCTGTCGTATTGGATTGCTACATTTGTTCTGCCGATTGGATCTCGATTTGTTTTCTATGATTTTTCAAACTTCGTGAGCGATTATAGTTTTTTCCAAGCTAATGAAGCGGGTGCGGCATGTGCTTCCTGATCTGGATCCCCCGCTTGTTAGACATCAGAATTTTGGGTCTTTTTGAACGGATAAGTTACGTTGCATCTCAAGTATCTGCCTTCGCTAAGTGGCGCTGTTAGTGGTTTGATGTAATGAAATGTCAAGTTGTTACACTGGTCTGAGGTTTGCCTAGCTTCCTAGTTTGCAAGGAGAATAAGGATCTCTCGTGTCTTAATACCATGATTTCCTTAACAATCCACGCCTTTATATCCGTTTGTCGGATCATGAAGTTCTACCCTTGCAATCATTGAACATGGAACTGCTTGGTTTATGCGTTTTTCTTGACCATGTCATCAAGATTGAATTTTTATTTTGTTGGTTTTAATGGAATCGGGTAAAGGCAAGCTGTGCTAAATGTAACTTTCCTGTTTTCTGGTAATGCAGGTATTTATTCCACATGGCTACATATAAGCCCAAGAACATCCTCATCACCGGGGCTGCTGGATTCATAGCGTCCCATGTTGCCAACAAATTAGTGCGCAGCTACCCAGATTACAAAATTGTGGTGCTAGACAAGCTTGATTACTGTTCCAATCTGAAGAACCTTAATCCCTCGAAATCTTCTCCAAACTTTAAGTTTGTGAAGGGAGACATTGCCAGTGCTGACCTCGTCAACTACCTTCTCATCACTGAAAACATTGACACTATAATGCACTTTGCTGCTCAAACCCATGTCGACAACTCTTTTGGCAACAGCTTTGAGTTCACCAAGAACAATATTTATGGTACTCATGTTCTTCTGGAAGCCTGCAAAGTTACCGGTCAGATCAGGAGGTTCATCCATGTGAGCACAGATGAGGTCTATGGGGAGACTGATGAGGATGCTGCAGTGGGAAATCATGAGGCTTCTCAGCTCCTCCCGACAAACCCATACTCTGCCACTAAGGCTGGGGCCGAGATGCTTGTTATGGCATATGGCCGTTCATATGGGCTGCCAGTTATAACGACCCGTGGAAACAATGTGTATGGCCCTAACCAGTTTCCTGAAAAGTTGATTCCTAAGTTCATCCTGTTGGCCATGAACGGGAAGCCCCTTCCGATCCATGGGGATGGATCCAATGTGAGGAGCTACCTGTACTGTGAAGATGTTGCTGAGGCCTTCGAGGTTGTTCTTCACAAAGGGGAAGTTGGACATGTCTACAATGTCGGGACAAAGAAAGAGAGGAGAGTGATTGATGTGGCTAAAGATATCTGCAAACTGATTGGAACAGAACCTGACTCCTGCATCCAGTTTGTGGAGAATCGACCATTTAATGACCAGAGGTACTTCCTCGATGATCAGAAGCTGAAGAACTTGGGATGGTCTGAGCGAACCGCATGGGAAGACGGGCTGAAGAAGACAATGGAATGGTACACTCAAAACCCCGACTGGTGGGGGGATGTCTCGGGAGCTCTCCTTCCTCATCCAAGAATGCTAATGATGCCTGGCGGAAGACACTCTGATTGTTCTGACGAGAACAAGGACGCATCTCCTGTCGCAACCAACACCAACCAGATGCAACATGTGGGTGTTCCCCCCGCCGAAACTAGTGAAAAACCGTCACTGAAGTTCCTGATCTATGGTAAGACCGGATGGCTTGGAGGTCTTCTGGGGAAAATATGTGAGAAGCAAGGCATTCCGTACGAGTACGGAAAAGGGCGTCTAGAGGACAGAGCATCTCTCGTAGCCGATATTCGGAACATCAAACCAACTCATGTCTTCAACGCTGCCGGTTTGACTGGTAGACCGAACGTGGACTGGTGTGAATCTCACAAAACAGAGACCATCCGTGTCAATGTCGCTGGGACGTTGACTCTGGCAGATGTTTGCAGAGAGAACGGCAACCTCCTGGTGATGAACTTTGCCACTGGCTGTATATTTGAGTACGACGCTGGGCATCCTGAGGGTTCAGGCATCGGCTTCAAAGAAGAAGACAAGCCCAACTTCACCGGTTCTTTCTACTCGAAAACCAAGGCTATGGTAACATGTTTTACTCCTTGTATCTGATCTTCACGCAAACTTTCTTAAAAAAAAAACAGATGGGATGGGGATGGGCTATACTAAAATTTTAGGATATCCGTATTTATACCCGATGGTTAGTTTGGATATCCAACTGATACGTACACTAAAACATTATTAAGAAATATATAATACTGAAAAACATGGATCGGATACCTGAAAATGTTAGGTATTCGTATTCGTACCCAAAAGTAAAAGGCTAAGTACTAAAAATTGTACACCGATACCTGAGGATACTTGTACCCATACCCGTTAGGCGGGTAAGCAGGAAAAAAGTGTTCTGCATCCGTGAAAGGCCAGCCAGGAATCGGAAAATCAGGCATTCATATATGTTATGTAAATAATTATCATGTTTCTTGGTCAGGTGGAGGAGCTATTGAGGGAGTACGACAATGTGTGCACCTTGAGAGTGAGAATGCCGATCTCGTCCGACTTGAACAACCCGAGGAACTTCATAACCAAGATCTCGAGGTACAACAAAGTCGTGAACATCCCCAACAGCATGACCATTCTTGACGAACTCCTCCCAATCTCCATCGAGATGGCGAAGCGAAACTTGAGGGGCATTTGGAATTTCACCAACCCCGGGGTGGTTAGCCACAACGAGATCCTGGAGATGTACAAGAGCTACATCGACCCTGCTTTCAAATGGTCTAACTTCACACTGGAAGAGCAGTCTAAGGTCATTGTCGCCCCTCGGAGCAACAACGAGATGGACGCCTCCAAGCTAAAGACCGAGTTCCCTGAGATGTTACCTATCAAAGAATCCCTCATCAAATTCGTGTTCGAACCCAACAAGAGAACCTGAAACACACCCTCCTCCTCGTCCGCCGCATCATGGATCCTCTGTAGGTAGGTGGTAGTTTCATTTCCCTTTATTCAATTTCCATATTGATTCTAGGATTTATTCACATCATCATCATCATTATTCTTTCCCT